TGGAATGGACAGTTCAACAGAGCTATGACTCTGGGTGGGTTTGGCAACTGGATTAAAAAGATATCTAGGATTATTCTTATTCTCTATTAATGAGGAGAAATATGCTGCTCTTGCTTTACAAAGGGTCCTCTTATACAGCAGTAAACTAATTTTCCAGACTAGGTAGGATTCCCGTAAGCCTGTGGAGTGATATTTTCTCTCCAGTTTCCTAACATTTTGCTTCAAAGTGCGCAGCTCTGCATTACACCAAGGAGCCAGCTTTCTATTTTTAAGGGTTTTCATTTTCAAAGGAGCTGCGTTGTCTAAGGCAGTACTCAGAGAACTAGCAACCCCATCAACAAAATCATCAACCTGTAAAGGGGAAGTGACTTATAAATAATTGTTTTTGCCCCTTAGTCAATTTCTTTATATAATTGAAAATGTTGATACATCTGAGTGACTTGCCTTTTATTGACATTTTAAATACTATTTAGTTCAGACATTAAAGTTAGAGTTGGTAATGCTGTTCAGAAACACTTTTTTTTTATGATTAAAATCACCCTTCCATCCTGACAGAACACTAGCCCTCTGAAACTGATCTGTGCCAAGTTCAGACCGAGCTTGGTTCCTATGACCATTTACACATTACACTAGCATGGTTCCTCACCTCCTGTCGGCTCTCAAGGCAGGAATTATGCAAACACAAATGGGGGCGCCCATAACATTCATGAATCTATGTTTGTTTATATTAGGGATAGTTCGACATTTGAGGAATGTCAGGTGAGCAGCAGAACCAGGCTCAGTGTGAGCGGTCATCTGCTGAGGCCGACTGGGGTTCAAGGAGACAGAAGCAGACATAGAAAAAGAAGCATAGATACAAAAAGCAACTGTCAACCTGTCAACACGCAGCCAGACAGACGAGCTCCGAGCTAGCTCCCATGTCAGAGGATGAAGAGAGCACATCCAGTTAGTCACAGTCAGAGAAACAGGACTACACTGAAAAACCGGCCGAGCTCAAACATCTAGAAACAAAGGTGTTGATGGCAGCAGCACAGCTGATATTTCTCTCCAGGATGGAGTCACAGCTAAACAGGAACAGACCAGATGAAGCTACTATGAGAAAAAGCAGAGAGAGCAGAACGTTAGAGATTGAACTAACAGATTCTGCAGAGTGGGAGAATAGAGATAGAATGAAGCAGAATGATGAAAAAGGGATCCCTATGTCCTCCTGCACTCCAAGCCTATAGCAGCATAACTATAGAGATAGCTCAGGATAACCTCAGCAACTCTAACAATAAGCTTTATCAAAAAGGAAAGTTTTAAGCATTCCTGATAGTAAAGAATTACAATAGTGCAGCTGGAAGTAACAAATGCGTGGACTAGTTTCTCTGCACCACCCCTCTTTTGTTTTGCTGCTCAGGTGATGTAAAATGTGGTTATACCTGCCTGCAGGTCTTGTTCCTGGGCAATCTTTGTACAATCCATCAGCAGACCTACTTTTGCCTCATCATTCATTTCCTGTGATCAAAGCCATCATAGTTTAATTTGGGGAGGGTCATAGCAGCCAACACAGCCTCCTCTCTTTTCAGCACCTCTGCAAAACTAGTTTTGGTTTCCTAAAATGATATATGAAAAAGAAGATGAAATACAAATGTGTATACAGTGTGTCCACATATGACAGCTTTTAAAAAATGTTTATAGTAGGATTATTATATGGGGTTATTGCACGGGGTATTTACATGGGTTTTTATATATATGGATATTTATATATATAGTTATTGCACTGGGTGTCAAATATAAAGAATCAGGTTATTGATCAGGGTATTCAATAGTAATTATTCTCCATTGCAGCAGTTATTGTGGTTGTAGCATGGCATTGTAGAGTCTGGTTGCAGCAGGGATGAATGACCTGCAATAGCGCTCCTTTTTCCAAACAGGCTGTAAAAGTCTTTGACTAAAGGAGCTGCTCAGCTCCTCTCCAGTCTGCTGCAGAGGGTGGAAGGTGGTGTCCATGATGGATGGAAGCTTGGACAGCACCCTCTTCTCAGCCACTGAGTCCAGAGTGCAGCCTAGGACAGAAACAGCCTTTCTCACCAGTTTGTTCAGTCTCTTTCTGTCGGGCTCTGCACTGCCAGGGGTCCAGAAGACAACAGTTAAGAGGAGGGCTGATGCCCCCACAGAGTCAGAGAAGGTTTGAAGCAGGGGCCTGCTCCCTGCAAAGGACCTCATCCTCCTCAGGAGACGGAGAGAGGCAGCTCTGGCCCTTCTTATACAGGGCGTCGCTGTTATGAGTCCAGTTTATTATTGACGTGAACACCCAGGGATTTGAAACAGTTTCTATGTCCTGCCCTGGATGTTTATGGGGGAGTGAGGTGGGGTCTTCTCCTGAAGTCCGTCACCATCTCCTTGGTCTTACTGGTGTTCAGACACAGGTGGTACTTCTCACATCAGTCCACAAAGTTAATGATGACCGATCGATTCTCAGTCTACAATGGCCGAGTCATGGGAGAACTTCTGGAGATGGCAGCTGTCCGTGTTGGAGGTGAAGCCCGAGGTGTAAATGATGAAGAGGAACGGAGACAGGACGGGGCCCCGGTACTGCAGACCTCTAACTGACAGCCGTGCAGCACTGGATCAAACCAAGGATCAGTTCAGTCCTTCATAGTTAAAGATCCTTTTTCTTTTTTTTTTTTTTTTACATTTTCCCCTCCCTATTTATATGGTCTGTGGTTGTTGATCTCCCACTCATCCCCACCTTACACTGAAATAATGCTTCTAAAAACTTATTCAGAGGGATAAACGAACATTTTGGAAGATATGCTCTACTGCCTGTCTTACCCCTCCATAGGTCAACTGAAAGACCTAAAGTTTAAGTATTTAAATTTTTTACATTATTTTAAAATGTAACTCTGGATTTATGGTTTTCATAAGCTGTAGGCAGCAGTAACCCAATTTACAAGAAATTAAGGTTTGAAACATATCACCCCATGAGTAACGATGCTATGGCATTTTTATCTATCAAAGAGGGAGAGACCACTACTTAGTAAAAACATATGAGTTTAATAAATGTATTTCAAAGAAAAAGCAGCATTTGAAGGGCTTTCAACACTCAAGAGAGGGAAAAAAAAAGCCACAAAGGAAGGAAATACAGCCTAATTTAGACTTCACAGAGAGATGGGTACATGCTCCCTGGTGACAAGTTGTTTTCTAGTCTGAAACAACCCCTAATCCACATTTCTCCTTAGCTGCCCTCGGCACAGATTAGATTCCACCTCTTGTCTGACTCCTTAAAAAAAATCAGTAGGAAAGATTTGAAAATATGTTGAAGGCCAGCATGTAGCTCCTTTTGCAAAAAATATGAATAATATAAAACAGGATAACATAAAGACGGATAACATTTTTCCACCATGTCCAATCTCCCTGCTCTTCTTCAGTGTACCAGTTTGAAATAAACACTCACCTGTAACTGTAAATGAAAAACTAAATTCAGTCAGATGTTTTCAGAGCCTTTATTTCAGGTTTTACACAGATCCAGAACACAGAGAAGTTAGTTAGGCAAGGATTGTTCATGGTTTAGACTATAACCTGTTTTCTGTTCTTACACCTTCTGTCAGCACCGTGGCTTCTCGTTCTCAGCTTTGCTTACAAAGAGGCTTTTGAGGAAGAGGAGCTGCAGGTACCCAGAGGTGATGATGAGCAAGCTGAGGGCCATTGACCACCATGTGATGTACCTGGAGTTGGACTGCAGCAGGAAGTAGTCTGCACTCTTTGACATGCGGCCAAAGCTGTAGTAGCGAAATATGTGGAAGACGTGACGCTCCACTTTGTTGGTTGCCCTCTGAAAAGCAAGATCAATATTTTTCTTTACAAAATACATTCAATGAGGGCGGGGATTCATGACAGCTTTCTGAGTCGGAAATTAAAATTGTTAATATCCGGCAGTTTTGCAATGCGTTATTTCACTACGACTTTAGAAATGTGGTGTTAACCTCTTACACCCTAAGGGGGTATAAATAAATTTCTTCCTGACAAAAACACACAAAAGTAAATAACTTATAGCCTCACAGCTATTAGATTTAAGAAGAAACTTTTGGTACGTCTGTAAAGGTAAGATGTCATAGAATGGTTTTCTGGTGTCAGCACCATTGTAGCTTTGACCCTGCCTGAAATATTAGGGTAAATATACAAAATGTTTTTTGAACCTCGCCAAAATTTTCTTTGAAATAAACATTGCAACATTGGTCAGTCTGTAGACTGCTGGTCGGTGAGA